CCATCCCCATGTAGAGAACGTGTAGGAAAGTAGACTTCCCTTGATTATGTACGACTATATAGCTCTTTACAACCATAAATACATCTCCTTTTGGGTTTGAATATGCACTTTTGGGAGTAGGGAAAGGAAAGAGTTTAAGTACCACTTTGTGAAACAGAAAAAAAATATTTGGAGTTCCAGGAATTTAACAATCCTGGAAGGAAAGAGTGAGAAGCAGAGAGTGAGGGAAGGAAAGGGAGAGCTGGGCACTAGGTACAAAAAAGGATATGAGATCCCCTTAATTGTGGCATGTCCCAAGAACATAAAAGAACATGTGATTTCACATTGTTCCCCACTTAATGTATTGGGCTTTAAAGTGACAAAAAAACAAAAACAAAAACAAAAACCAGCCATTTCCCTTTCAGAGATTGGAACTGATTTGGAAATAGACCTGGGAGTCAGGTCACCAAAATATTGACTATATCAATGGTGAAGCTGGACTAATAAATATGACTTGACCTAAAGCCACATTTGGGATTTCTAATGCTTCTCTCCAAGTCTAGAACTCAGACACTTCCTGTGCCATCCCCAAAACATAGTCTGCAAAACACAGCCTGCAAAGTTATCTGACTAGGTATGGAGAGAATCACAACCTCACATAAAATGGACACTAGTCATAGGGAAAGAGACTGGTTTCCAGATCTGGCTCTAGAAGGCAGGAATGGACCCTGACCCATGTGTGCTTAGCACAACAAATCTAGAATAGGATACATATACTGTGGACTGGCAGATCCAAAGGAGAAGGAGGAAGAAGTATCATTCCATCCAGGAAATCAAAAGTGAAATCATAGACCATATGCTTGCCTCAATATAACAATTCAAATCCTCTTCCCATAAGGAAAGAAACGCTATTATTCTCTTAGCATGTGATTGCCTCATAAAAGTCCCATATGAAGAAACCTCTGTCAATATGGTAATCAGAAGTTTCTCTCCCTGGATAATTCAGAGTTGTTCAGTGAAATTCCCAGAAAAGAGGAAAATCTGAGATGGAATGTTAAAAAGAAAGAAAGAACATCAAATTAGTATCCCATTTTCTTAACATTCAACCTGTGAGGAATACAAGGAATTTCTCTCATTGATAAATTTAACTTGGGAAAAGACAAATCTGTTTCTTTTATAGCTTTTGGGAAACAGTGTTACTTATTCAAATGTGAATCCACTTTGGTTTAACACAGCCAATAAAATGTGTGTCAGAGACAGAATGAGAGTAGGATAGGGAATTATTAACACAGTAAAGGTAAATTTTCCTGAGATCCTAAATGCACAACCAAGCTGTTAATACTGCATAACAGAAAGTGTTACCCACTGGAATCAATTATTATTCAAATTTTACCAACTATTTTCCTTTTGGAGTTAAGATCTAAAAATTAAACTTTACAAAAACTGTATTTTGAAGTTGAATAAAGATTTTTTATATATATTAAAGGTTTTATACAGAAACAATTCATAGTAATTATATTTGCAAAAAAAATTACCAATTTTGTAGTATTGCTTGTATCAACATAGAGATCTTATTAAAAAGTGAAATAAAAATTAATACCACCAAATCTGAAATTACTGTATGATATTTAAGGACATTGGGAAGATTTAAGCAAAACAGCCCCAGCATTAAGTGGTCCAAATATCCCCAATCTGGTGTATAATCAAAGAGGAAACTAAAATCAAAAACTATATAATAATAAATGTCAAATACATCAGTGAAATAAAATAGGCTATCTAGACTGGAGTATGTTATGTTAAAACTTGTGGGACATGGCCAAAATAATATCCAATGTACTTGTAGTATTTATTCCTAAGCAACAATAAAATAAAAATAAATTAGCCTACAATCAATATAAGAAACTAGAAAAATAACTACATTATAAATCTAAAATGAAAGCAATGACTAATAATAAAAGAAGTTAATGAAATAATGAGCACCACCAACAATAATAAGCAAAAACATCAAAAATAGTTTTTTAAATGTATAATTTCTGGGGCTAGTGAAGGTATAGGGAGAAAATTTTGTCTTACATTATATAATCCCCCAAATAGAAACATAAATACCTCTAAATGTTCACCAATGAGAGAACTCTTAAATGACAGTTAATCTATATCCTAAAATTATAGTCATTATTTTAAAATAATGAAAAAAATAATAAATAATTAAAAGAATGAGATAATTCTATATGAACTACCATATACTAGGTTTCCAAATTTCATCCATGTACATACCAACTTCAGGATTGCTGTCATGTTCATATAACCATTCTACAATTTTCTTAATATGTTTAAATGTTTCTAAATAGATGTTTACATTTTCTAAATATATGTTTAAATCTTAATATATGTTTCATTTGAATAAAGAAAAATAACCTGGTATCATAATAACAGTAATATCTGTGAAATCATCAGTTTGATATGTTGGTTAACAACTATATTTTTCAAAGTTCCTTGTCCCAGTAATAGATAAGGAAACCCAACCCTTTTGAGTGCCCTAAGTGAGCCTGTTTGCCTGAGCAGGATTTTGTTTAGACCAATTTAGCAAAGTCCTTTCTGATTTGTGACCAGCCAGCTTCTGCCAGGATGTCTATTCAGGTTGAGTTGATGGAGACAGTGGCCCTTGTGGCTGGACCAGCCAACCGAAAATCTGTAAGGGGCAGACTAGCAATGAACAGAGATGGCTATGAGACACCAGAGCAGCTCCCCACCTTCCTTTTTATGAAGAGTATTATAAATTCAGCAAGGGATATAGATGGAAAATAAGTCAAGAGCATACATTTGTCTCTAATTCCATGGAGATCCTTTTTCAGGACCCATGAAGCATCATTCCTTTCTGTGCCACCAGGAACAGAGGGGGACTGTTACAAATACTCATCTATTTTCACGGAGCTGCATGTGCCCAGGTCTTGCAGGGAGCTTTTCCTAATTCCTCTGGCAAAGATGAAGCATCTTTCCTCCAACCTTATAACCAAGAGTTTCCCAACTTTGTTGAGGGAGTAATAGCACCTCCTCAAATATCATGCAAATGCCAAGGGGATCTGAGTCCCTCAGGTTTCTCTAAATTTCAAAGGTTTTGGACAAGCTTCTGTTTAGCCATTGTGATATATCATTATTTGGGGTTAAAATGATAACCATTCACTAATTTAGTCAGTCCATCAGTCAAAAACAATTTTCTGAGCACCAACTCTACAAGATGGGTGCATGCTTGGTTTGCTTGAAGCCCCTCAAGCTAGAATTCAGGGAGAGGTGGGGGGCAATAGAAGAGAGGTCAGCAAGGGAACCAGGGCAAGACTGCCTCAGATATATTTCTTAATGCTCAGCCCCTACGCCCTATAAGTAATCACATTTCCATGGAGTTGCCAGTATAACAGCTCCATCCTGTATCTTGTACAACATATTAATTTCATAAATGTAAAATTACCCCATAATATTCCTGAAGGAATGGAAGGACGGTGTAGGATGCTGCCTAAAAGGGCAAAGTCTGGGCACATGTGATAAAATGCCTCTTGTAAGGATGTTGCTTGTTCAGAATGCAACATGATTACCCTCCTACTGAAACTCTTAATTTAAAGATATTTTCTGGTCTTCTATTTCCAGTTCTCTTTGGGTTTCTGATGAGTTCTGGTTCCTTTTGCTTTAGAATTAAACATTATTTTATCCATCATTAACAATTCCTAACCTGACCCCCTTTCTCCTTTTTTTTAATCTTATATTATTTGCCTTGTAAAACCATATTGCTTTGCTGTAGAATAATTAAATCTATGGGGCTCGGGGTAAGAATGCTGCGTTCAAATCCTGACTCTGCCATTTACTAGCTATGTGATCTTGGTAAGTTACTGAAACTGTGTACCTCAGCTTCCACACATAAAATGAAGATAATATTCATACTTAACCTTAAGAGAGTTATAGTGAAGATTGAGAGAATCTCTGCCCTAGTAAGCACTAAATAAATGTTAACTATCAAAATTATTCACTCTGCCTCAATAATAATTAGCACATACCAGATTCTTTTTTTGTTTGTTTTTGTTTTTTAGAGTTTATTTTTTAGAAAGTTTTAGGTTCACAGCAAAACTGTGAGGAAAGTACAGGGAGTTCCCATATACCATCTGTCCCCACATATACACAAGTCTCCCCACTATTAAAACTCCACACCAGAGCAGACTCTTTTGATATACTTGCATAAAAACCCTCTGCCCCTCCCCCCCCACTCGCATTCTCTCTCTCTCTCTCTCTCCCAGGAGTCCTTAAATAAATAAATCTTTAAATAAAATAAAATAAATTTTAGGTTAGTTTTCACAGCCACCTTACCTAAATTGGTGTTATTTACATTTAAAATTTTAAATTCTCTTCCATTATTTATACCCTTGGTAAATAATCTAAATATTTATTAAGTCCCTTTGTAAAACTGAATAACATCATTACCATTATTGTTTCTATTCATTTCATTAGAAAATTTTATTAATTTTCACACTGTACTGTACAGAAAATACGAAGTCTATGTCTATATGCAGGAAATGAACCAGAATTAGAAAGTACATAAAATATTTTTCAAGAGGAATATGTGCAGTTTTTTATAAAAAGACCTGATCTCAGGATGCCTGGGTGGCTCAGTCGGTTAAACATCTGCCTTTGGCTCAGGTCATGGTCCCAGGGTCCTGGGATTGAGTCCTACACCAGTCTCCCTGCTCAGCGGAGAGCCTGCTTCTCCCTCTGCCTGCTTCTGTGCACACTTGCTCGCTCTCTCTCTCTCCAACAAATAAATAAATAAAATCTTTAAAAAAAAAAAAGATCTGATCTCTTCTTTGTTTTAGGTCACTTTTACAGTAACATGCAATAAAATGATTGGTGTAAACTGAAGTCAAACATTTTGCTACATATTATAACATTGACCTTTATACAGACAACGTCCCAACACTGATAAGGTTTAGGACTATATATATGGAGAGAGAAACAAAGTGAAAGAAAAGCCTTTTGAGCAAACCAACTTTGGGGCCAGGAACGCCTTGACAGGAACAATGGGGTTATTAAGTTTTGTCTTCCTTTTAGTCCTATACCTGCTGCAGGGATCTAATACTTCCCTTGTTCAGCTGAATAACAATGGGTATGAAGGCATTATCTTTGCTATAGACCCTCGAGTGCCAGAAGATGGAAAAATAATTGAACAGATAAAGGTAAGAAAGAAATGGGATTTCTTCTATTTGAATTGTGGAGAAGAAAAAAAGTTAGTAGTTAATAATTATGAACTTCTGAATGTTACAGGAAGCTTAAAAGCAGCATGGTACAGTAAAAATAATGCTGGAACGGCAGAGGGAATTGGAAGTTCTAGGTGGGGTTCTACCCTGTCTCACCATAAGACCAGAGACAAGGCACAGAGCCTTTCTGATCTCAGTTTCTTCATCTATAAATGGCAGTTGAACTCATCTGTTCTTTAAACACTTATTTAATGAATACTTATGACAAGTCAGGGAGATAAAACAGTGAATTAAAAATTCCTTGCCTTCGTGCAGTACACATTCTTTTTAGATGATATAGATAATAAAAACATGTAAAAGTATAGCAGGTCAGATGGTAGTAGGTTGCCATGGAGTAAAGTAAATCAGCAAAGGGGGATAGGCGGTGTTGGTGGGGCTGGGTAGGAGGAGAACATGGGTTACTGTTTCACGTAGGGCAGTCAGGGAAGGCCTCACTGTTGATGGTGACGTCTGAGTGGAGACCTGAGATGAATAAGGGAAGAACCCATTGAAAACCTGGAGGAGGGAACAGCAGGTGCAGCGAGCATACTTGATGTGACCAGCAGGAGGTGATGGCCAAGAAGAAGGGTGGGGAGAGCTGAACATGGAGACAGAGGGCCCAGACCACTGGAAAGACTTGGGCTTTTACTTCCATGGAAGGTTTCTGAGCAGAGGTCGGTGTGCTCTTTCATGCATGTGCTGGGATCACTCTGAGTGCAGTGTTGAAGAAATTCTGTAAAGGGCTCTTCTACTTGTCATTCACCCTGTATAGCTCTGTTGTAGCACAGAGGTATGGAGGGACACCAGGTAGGAAGCTGTTGTGGTGAGAAGTGACGGAGACCAGGTATAGGGATGTTGTGCTAGAGATCATTAAAGTGGTATAATTCTGAACATATTCTGAGGGTATCAGACAAATTTGCTGATGGTTTAGATGTGGCATTGGGGAGGTGAGGAGGGAAAAACAGAAGTCAAGGAAGACTTCAAGGGTTTTGGTCTGAACACTAAGAAGGATGGAATTATCATCAGTTGAGAAGGTGAAGACTGTAAATGGAAAAAATTTGGCAGATGGGAGATCAGGACTTAGTTTGAAGCATTTTGAATTTGAGATGCTTATTAGATATCCATATAGATGGAGATAGGAATCTGAATTCAAGGGGGATATCTGGGTGGAGATAAAAACTTGGGAGTCATCAGTGTGCAGAATGAGATTTAAAGCCATGGGAATAAATGAGTTCACTAAGAAGTACAGATGGAGAAGGAAAAGGTTCCAAGACTGAACCAAGGAATTTGATTTCTAAAGTTTCTTCCAACTATATCATTTCACATAATAAAGAGACTGGTGTTACAGTCATGCAAATTAGCTCTGTCTGTCCCTGACATCAACATTTACTAATTCCTTACATTCAGTTCCTCCACTGCTATATCCTTATGCTCACTGATTTAGCCTTCTGCATGCATGTTGCTATCCATCAGAAGCTGATGTGCTTGACCTGGGTGGTGAGCAGGTGATTCTGTGGCTGCCATTTATTACTCATTCTGAATAAACTCTTGAAGCATAGCTGTGTTCATTTATTGATAACTTTTGAATTCCAGGAAAATATAAAGATTCCTTTACTGAAGAGCACAGGCTTGAATAGCAGTTAATATAGCTGATTCTGAATGATGGCTTCTTAGTGTTCAGGAATAATCAGTTTCAAACTTTTCCAAACATCAGAAATCAGTATTTGAAAGAATTATTTGTAGGGGCAAAAAAATTTATTAAAATGTCCTCTACTGAACACCACAAAAGTTCAATTATTAGTAGGTAGACATGTCTCTAGATTACACAATGTTTCCTGACATTCTCCCAGCCCTCTACAAAGTCCTTGCATTTATATTATCAGGCAACCTTGTGAAATTCTCTCATCCACATTATACAGAAAAGAAAACTCTAGTTGGAAAAGTAAATAATTTTCAAGGTCAAATTAAATAGCACAATTACAGCTGAGATACAACACATGGGCTTTGAAGGCTGACAAATCTGGGTTTGAGTTCTGGCTTATATAAGGTAACAAAGATTACTCTTTTTTCTAACTGGTGAACCAATTTGCAGAACCAACTTACTTTGGGGATATTATCTGACCATAATAAGATTCATGCTGAATTTACTCATAATTCATGACCTGAGATGTCAACTGTCAACTTTCCTTATTCCTTTTATTCATGTGTCTTCTTGGTTTGAAAGTACTCATTTTTTTTGAAACATTGATAATACTAATCATCTTTGATCCAACTAGGATATTATAGGAATTCTGAGAAGGAATTTTGAAAGAATATTATAGAAATTTTGCTTGGAAAGCCTGTGAGAGGCATTATTATCCATCCTAGTATGCCCTAAGGGATCATAGTCATCTGACACAGGTCTGTAAAATCCTTCAATGACCTGAGAATATACCACTACCCAAGGCAGTTGCACAGAGCTAAGGATACTACGAAGTAAATGGAATACCTTGGAGTTATACAATGCACAACCCACACAACTGTATGCAGTTTGTTCATGTTATCTCCCTGACATGCCAGAAAACTGTATACTTCTCCAATCTGTACCACAATTCAAATCACCATATATAATTTTTATCTCATAGAAAGAGAGATAGCCATCGCTTCAAGTAAAATGTGACAACTGGCTGATATCTAAATATTCCAAAACAAAAATGAGGAAAGGATCCTTAGGGAATAGGTAGAGAATTCTTTCATCCACTTTAGGTCAGTGATGAAGTAATTCCCAACCTACTTTAGGAGATCTCTGAAGCCCCTTTCCTAACTCTTAGCTAGTTCTTTGGGCATTCAGTTCTCTGCACTCTGGCTTCTGACTGATCCCATGGCTATGAACCCAATCAGTTTGCTGATCTCTTCAATGCATATGAGTCAGCACACTGGACTCTCTTCAAGAGAACAAGACAGAGAGCCCTGGGATTCCTGAAAAAAGAATAAATCTATTGTGGACTTGTGTCAGGTCAGGAAGCATCATGGAGGAGGAGAGCCCATCCTGAAGGAAACAACACTGTTGACTGGGATATTTCCAGCAAGATGAAGAGTTTGATATTGTCATCCAGCACCCAGGATCCTTCAATTATTCAGTGGTTTTGATCATGTAGAATAGATCACCATTAAGAAGCATTCATCCACCTATTTCTCCCACTAGTTATTAAGTTCTAGAAAGGGACTATCTCCCTTATTAATCATTGCACCTTTGGGTTCAAGATACTGCACAGTATAAAGTGATATTATTTTCAGCTTGTTGGCAGAGCAGCAAGCTCTGCCTATGATTAAAAAGCTCTGCATCTCCTATGAATTTTTCTATCATTCCACCCCCGAGCCCCCAGTCCAGCTGCTTCTCCTGGAGAGTGTGAGTATAATGAAAAACCTCTCCTATGTCCCTTCCCTACAGACTGTTCTCAGCTTGCATTACCTAAGGCTGGTCTCCACTAAGATTTATTAACAGTAATGATATCAACCAGTTTTATGACTGCCTATGTGTAGGGTACTATATAACTCATTTCATGTTTATGTTAACCTTAAAGAAAGGCTGTAATAGTCCATATAAGAAATGAAGAAACTGAGCTTTAGAGTGTTAAACTGGCCAAGCTCTATTACCCAGAAGGTGCTAATGCCAATATTGGAATCAAGTAGATGACTCTAAAGTCTAGGCCTTTGTAGGGGTGCCTGGGTGATGGCTCAGTCGATTAAGCATCTGACTCTTGATTTTGGCTCAGGTCATGATCTCAGGGTAATGAAGTTGAGCCCTGTGAGGGGCTCCACACTGGGCATGGAGCATCTCAAGATTCCCTCTCTCCCTCTCCCTCTGTCCCTCTACCACCACCAACCCCCCCCCCATGCTCACACGCATGCGCTCTCACTCTCTCTAAAAAGGAAAAAAAAATAAAGTCTATGCCTTTGTCATTTTACATAATTTCTCTTAACACCAAACAGAAGCATTTGCCCTTTGATGAAGGGTTATAGAAAACTCAAAGCCTTTAATGTGTAAGATTAAGATATAATTTGGACTGATAGTTAGCAGAGCTAGAACTGTGTGACAGAGACTCTGCTCACTAGTCAGTTGCTTTGTCTATCCACTCTTAAATTGGGAAATGCCTGTGGTGAAGCTCTGCTCATTTAGTCCACTGTTACTTGGCCATCTTCACATATCTTTTCCTTTAATAACAGGACATGGTGACTACAGCTTCTACTTACCTGTTTGAAGCCACAGAAAAAAGATTTTTTTTCAAAAATGTATCAATACTAATTCCTAACAACTGGAAGGAAAACCCACAATACAAGAGGCCAAAACATGAAAGCTACAAACACGTAAGAGTCAAATGCTTCTCTTAAAAAATCATATTTTCTGGTGATCCCCAGTTTTGCAGCACATTGATTGTTTTAGAGTTTTTTAAACTAAATGTTATCATTTCTATTTCTGATGTTTTAAAATTTTTAAACATTTTTAGGCTGATGTATTAGTTGCACCACCTACCCTCCCTGGTAGAGATGAACCATACACCAGGCAGTTCACAGTCTGTGAAGAAAAAGGAGAATACATTCATTTCACCCCTGACTTTGTACTTGGAAAAAAACAAAAGGAATATGGACCGTCAGGTAGGAATTTTTGTTAAAACACATGTTTTGCAAATGATTCTAACATGCAGCTTTGTATCCAGGTTAAGTGTACAGGCCTTGGAGTCAGAGTCTCTAGGTTCAAATCCTGACTTATCAATTGTGTGTGACCTTGGACAAATGACCTAGTTTCTCTGTTCTTATTTCCTATAAGACAGTAAATAGAAGGTTTCCTACCTTATGGAATTGTTGTGAACACTGAGTTAGATAATCTATATAACTATAGTCAGAACAATGTCTACAAAAATTTGAGCACAGGACAATACATTTTTAAGGCATACTTTTTAGATTTAAATTTTTCAGTTCTCCACAGCTGGATATTAATCAACCACAAGCTGCCTCCATGGAAGGCACATGTATGGCAAGCTAGAAAGAGCCAGGATGTCAATTCTTGGCCAAGAGAAAACACTCATAGGCTGCTAGTTGCTGATACTATTATTCAACCTATTTGGTTTAACCAGATGAACTGTCTATAAGTGATCATTTTCACCTAGAAAAATGACAATTTCATCTAGTTCAATCTAAAAGTTAAAATCGGGGCGCCTGGGTGGCTCAGTCGTTAAGCGTCTGCCTTCGGCTCAGGTCATGATCTCAGTGTCCTGGGATCGAGCCCCGCATCGGGCTCCCTGCTCGGCAGGAGGCCTGCTTCTCCCTCTCCACTCCCCCTGCTTGTGTTCCCTCTCTCGCTGTATCTCTCTCTGTCAAATAAATAAAAAAATAAATAAATAAAAGTTAAAATCATTGGTTCAAATGAACTAAAGCATATTGATACAAATCATTGTTAAAGGAAGGCTCAACTCACATGTCACCATTCAGTGAAAACCTTCCTAAATCCTAAAATCTCCTTCTCCCATTGCCCTTTCAATGAGCACATAATAAGTCTCTTGTCTCTGTCGAATGTTCAGCTAGCCCTGGTCCTCATTGTCACCTGGGCCTATTCCCCACCCCCACTTAAAATCTCTATCATCCTATCCCACCCCAATCTTACCTGTCCCTCAAACTTTAGCTTGACCATGTCTGTTCTCCTTGGTACCTCTAATCCTTCACCTTTCTAATCTATAGTCTCTTTCCTGGCTGGCATATCCAGCACAATCAGTCATTTCAACTATAAGTATAAATACCTCAACTCCCTCATCATTCATATCCTTATGTTTCATTCAACTTGCCAAATCCTCTGTACTGAGTTTCCAGCCAGTTTCCTTTGGCTCCTGTTAATGTATTACCAAGACTGTGATAGAAAATTATAAAACTAATGGTATCATTATATAAACAGGTTTTCCAAGCTCAGAGAAGCCCTCAGAGCTACTCAACAATATTTGAACCTACCTCTTCTTGGCTCCCTTTTTCATTCCCCATAGCAGTTCTTCTAAAACTTCTATTTTTCTCAAGATCTATAATCACTCTTTTCAATCCCATCAACAGATCCTTATAGTCAAGCTAATTAACATACCTCCTCACACAGTTACCTATCCTTTCCATTTTATTTTATTTTATTATTTTTTTTATATTTGTGGTGAGAGCACTTGAAATCTACTCTCTTAGCAAATTCAAGTGGGCATGGGAGGCAGGGCAACCTGCCATGCACCAAATCCTTGTTGTAGTCGCTGATATGAGGGCTTTTTCCTCCCATACTGAAAGGTACAATTTCACACTTACTAATCTGGTTCCATTTGCCTAGAAAACCTTAAACCAGGGTTTTTAAAGTTCAGTGCACAGAGGAATAACTTAGGGATCTTGTTCATATGCAGATTCTGCTTCAGGAGATCTAGAGAAGGTCCAAGATTCTGCATTTCTTGTTAGCCACCAGGTGATGCTGATGCTTCTGGTCCAATGAACACATTTTGAGTAGTAAGGACTTAAAGAAGAAATGTGACTTATGCATAATACTGACACTTCCCCCCTACTTTTAGATCTCATGAGTTAATTAGAGTTAGAGAAACACACATTACAGTAGAACAAGACTATATGTCCAAATTCCTCTTCTCCATATCTATACCCTCTGAAGTTTTTCCTAATATGGCTAAAACAGAAATTCTAGTTGTTTCTTCTTCCTGCATTTCAAGCTGTGGATTTACCTTTATTCTTCCATTTACCCTAAAATCCTTAGCAAAAAAAAAATTTTTTTTTTTAATTCCAACTCCCTCTCTTTGAGCTTTTCCTAGTCAAGGATTACATCTTATTCATCTTTGTATTTCCTAGTACTTAGTATAGGCTGAATATACATAATTAATAATAATTTCTTTCACATAATTAATAGTTTATGTGTTAAGTACTATAAACTAATCATTTTATTTGGACGCAATCCAAAATGCTATATCATCTATACCAGTGTTTTTCAATCTTATTTTTCATTATCAACTTCCTCAGGAGCATTTATAGACATTTTTTAACTAATCACATCCTAATGAAATTTTAATATCAAAGATATGTTATATATCTGTTTATGTTGTTGGTAGGAGTAAGCTTTGGAGAGCTAAAAACCATTGTAATATCTAAGACTTTTTGCCCCCCGAGAGCCAAAACCCAAAGTTCAGTCTATTCTGCCCATAGCATATACATCATAAATATTTTGTTGATGTAACATGTTGGGTAATAAAAAGATGATATACTATATAATATAATGAAACATGCTTTTTTATAAATAAAAATATAAATGTTAGCAGTTATTTAAAACCTAAATATAATTTTTTATTGAAAACATTTCTTAAAATATTTGAGGGACAATTTTGTCACTTGAATTATGATCTTGTATTTGAAATATTTTCCTACAGATAGACTGTTTGTCCATGAGTGGGCCCATCTCCGCTGGGGAGTGTTTGATGAGTACAATGAAGATGAGCCTTTCTACAGTGCTAAGTCAAAAAGAATTGAAGCAACAAGGCATGACCATTTAAATTTTCTTAATTACTTTAGGCTATAACTTCTTAATTTTCTTAGCTTGATTTCTTTTAAGTGCCAATAATTTTTTTTACATCCCAATGCAGATAATAGATGCGATATCACAAAAGAGTGCTTTTCTGGGTTTTCTTCTTCTTTTTTTCTTCTTGTCTTTCTTTCTTTTACTTTCCTTATTTTTAGAAAATGTACCTTAAAGTAGCTGGTTGTCTATTTAAAATACACATAACTTTAAGAGCATTTGGTAGCCAATTTGGCATATTTTTATACCTCTCTACCACAGCTGCCAGAACTCATTTGTGCTGAAGTTATACTCTGTATAAGGGGTTATATAGTATACGCTAAATCAAAATTATTTATACTACACAAGGACAAAAAAAAATGGTTAAGAAATAGTGGTAAATGCACACTAAATGAGAAATCAATCTTCAAAGAGCCAGACAAGGATTTCTTAGGATTTGTAAAGTTCATTTAAAAATACAGATCTAATAATATCACATTTAATCATAGACAATCCTCTTAGTTCTGAGATCAAGAGAGCAAAATGATCGCTGGTAACTGGTTTAAAATTAGATGCCATCAACTTAATCAATCTTAGATGCCCTGTTGGGTTTCTGTGGACTTATCAGAAAAAGTATAAACTGAAAGATATTTGATTTCAGTGAAGGCCCTTCCTCTGCCCAATTGCTCCACCAGTTTTAGCACACGTATTTAAGGAGTATTACATTGATTACATTTGTCTATATCATATTCCCTCTAAATGTCCAGTCTCTGCTCTAGAATAGTCATCATGGTTGTTAATGCAGATACCATCATGTACACTGAGTTCTGGAAGCATGCACATATTTAGGAGACTCCCTAAATGACTGAATGAAATGTAGTAATTGTTTCTTAAATCTGAACTGGAAACACATTGAAAAGATGGGATACATTCACATTCTAGCATATTTGTCATAATCACTGCTATCTGTGGCCAATTCCATGCAATAAAACATATGTCAAAAACGTCCCTACCAGTAAAGACTACTGTCTTAGGCAGTACCTCAATCTTTCCTTCAAGCCACATTTCACTTTGGATAAAAGTGCTCCTGAAAAACCAAACACTTGTAGCTATACCACATCACATTCTTTTGGAGATAACTTCTTTGATAAGAATTCTACAAAGAACTTCAAGCTAAGGTAGTACCAAGAATAGGTGTTTTCACAAGTTGCCCTTTCCAGATACCAACAGTGTATTTATCATCACAAGGCCCCCAGGAGAGATGTTTGGAAAAGGGGACTCTCCAGCCATTAGTATTAACAGGACAGCAGCAGCTTTAATCACAACAGGAAATTCAGCCATTGCATACACTAGACATCCCACTTAAAATTTCTTTCTGCAATTTATTGAAAAACAGTTAACTGCTCTGGTAGGAACCCTTCAATGTTGCTGTCAAACAGGATGTATATGGTACATAAATAAGAATAAAGATCTTGATATACAGGTCATTATTAAAAAACTTGATAGAAAGACTACTTAAGATTTTCAAAAATTTTAATAAATAAATAAAATCTTTAAAAAGGGGGGGGCACCTGGATGCCTCAGTTGGTTAAGCGTCTGCCTTTGGCTCAGGTCATGATCCCGGGGTCCTGGGATCGAGCCCCGCATCAGGGTCCCTGCTTGCAAGCCTGCTTCTCCCTCTGCCTCTGCTGCTCCCCCTGCTTGTGCTCTCTCTCTCTGTCAAATAAATAAAATCCTTAAAAAAAAAAGATTTTCAAAAATTTTAAATGTTAAGTTGCCTCAAAGACTAATTGTTATATATTTTCAGATGTTCCACAGGTATTACTGGTATAAATAGAGTTTATAAGTGTCAAGGAAACAGTTGTATAACTAGAGGATGCAGAATTGATTCTAAGACAAAACTGTATGAAAAAGATTGTCAATTCTTCCCTGATAAAGATCAAACTGAAAAGGCATCCATAATGTTTATGCAAGGTATTAATTCTGTAAGTATGCCAACTGTAATTTAACAGCATATATTTATATTCAAAAGACATGTTATCATGTTTATAAAATATCTGGGCAGGTTACCTGAGAGATTAGACATATTAATAATAGAGTTCTTTAAATATTAACTGGCATATGGTAAGCACAACTATTGTTAGCTAGCTAGTGTTAGCTATTATTACAATTATTCTAAATCTATGTTACTATTATATGATTCCTCAATGAATCCTATTTCATTAAATAAATGACATATTTGCCAAAAAGATCTTTTATTTTTCAGATTTGTTGTTGAATTTTAAATGCATTCTATATATAAAAAGTTTTTTTCACTTTATTAACCTTTCAGGTTGTTGAATTCTGTAATAAAGAAAACCATAACAGAGAAGCTCCAAGCCTACAAAACAAAATGTGCAATTCCAGAAGTACATGGGAGGTGATCAGCAATTCTGAGGATTTTAAAAATACAACATCTTTGGTGGCACCACCCCCTCCACCTGTCTTCTCATTGCTGAAGATCAGAGAAAGAATTGTGTGCTTAGTTCTTGATAAGTCTGGAAGCATGAGTGTAAGTTTGTGGGCCCATTTTTCCTGGATGTAAGGACACAGAAGTGACTGAATAGCTAAGAATATTCTGAACACTACATGCTTGTTCTAAATTGCATGGTGGCATAAGTACTATCACCTCCTATGATCATGACCTCAAGAGGGGCAGTGAATATTGTAATGAACGAAGTGTCGCAATAGAGTTAAAAAGACCTAACCCAAGATCCAACTCCAGAAAATGGAGAGTTTATTGAGAGGCACTTTTAGACTCTTTATTTTTTTTATAATGTTTCCATTTCTTTTTTTTTTTTTAAAGATTTTATTTATTTATTTGAGAGAATGAGACAGAGAGAGCATGAGAGGGGGGAGGGTCAGAGGGAGAAGCAGACTCCCCGCCGAGCAGGGAGCCCGATGCAGGACTCGATCCCGGGACTCCAGGATCATGACCTGAGCCGAAGGCAGTTGCTCAACCAACTGAGCCACCCAGGTGCCCTAGACTCTTTAGTAAAACCTCAGGATCAGAACTAAAGACTTTTAACATGGACATGCTTTCTACTGGAAACACTTAACAGACATGAGGAGAGAGTGGATTAGGGCCTCTGAACTCCATTCCAAGTCAAGGAACAAGATCAACCAGGAGAACTGTTAATGTGGCTTTACCTTATTTGTATCATCTATATAAATGACCTCTTTATATTCAAAGACACAGGCAAAAAGCATCACTATAATGAAGATACAGTCAGATTCAGCCATTCATTTCTTCTATCATTCAGTGAATGGAAGGCATTGTGCCAGGCTCTAGGAATAGAACTCATATCCTTAAAGAGTTCACAGTTGAAAATTTTCTCTCTTCCCCATTACCTGGTTAACTCATACATATTCTTCAAATTTGGTAGAGGTACCCATTTCCTCCCGGATGAGATGGGCTGGGCTTCTAGGCTGGACTAATGGTCCTTCTGCCGGTCTCCCACAACGACCTGTGCAAACCTCTATTACTATATATTATATTGAAATTACACATTTCTCTCCCACTAGACCGGGAGCTCCTCTAGGACTTGAAGCAGTGTTTTATTCATCTTTGCATCCCTTCTGCCTGGAACGGGGTTTATCATGTATAAGCACTGAATAAATAATTGTGGAAATGGACTACAAATGAGCAAATATAATGTGATAAGGCACCCAGAAGGATGGCATATTTGAGGCAGAACAGAGCATGCTAAAGATCAAGAAAAATGTCTTCAACTAAAGGGGCCTGGGTGGTTACTGAAAAGCACAGAAGATGACACAGCTGAATGAAATAATCCACAACAGTAGAGTTTCAGAAAGAGCATCAGAATGCTAGAAACCTATACATAGAAGTGTCCTAGGAAGTGTTGCTGGCGAGAGATGAAGCTCCTTATTGGGAAAAGATGAGCAACCTCCTTTGGACAAGATAGACAAGATACAGGTAGAGCTAAGTTTAAAGGTAAAACAAAGTGGTAGAGAGAGAGCCCTCAAAGATGGAGATGTAAGAGCAGTTTTTCACTATGACTTGGTTCTAGGTAGTTCAGAGGGAAATTTGGATTGTGTTGGGGGGGAGGGTACCACAGATCAGTTGGTGATAAGGGACTGGAAAAGACAAATGTATGAAAAGCCTTACGTCCTGGGCATTCATCTAGAAAAGACGGATGTGAGTTTTAATGAGTTCTTTGATAATTAATTCCAATTAATTCCATTTAATCCATTGGTAGGGAAGTGGTGAGGAGAGGTTAGGAGCAGAAGAGGAAATGGGGGAGGTAGGTACTGGGCCTCTTAGAATGTAACTGCAGCTTGAGTAAGTTTCATCTTCTGGGAAGTCCCCAAGTGGATGGGGAGATTTCAGTCTCTAGATGGAGTCCATGATAGTCTGATTTAATACTGTGGGATCTGGGGAGCAGTTCCATCTTGACACAACTGGAACAGAGGATCTCAGGAGTTATTAGGCAGTCTCTAAGATGTGAGTCATCACCCCCCAATTCCAACCCAACCCCCACCTTATCCTCCACCTCTAATTTGGGTGCTTAGCAGCCAAGAATCAGCTCTAATTAAAGCCTATGTTCTTTACTATACCGTATGTATTCCATAATACACATAACTATATTTTTCAATTTTATCAACTGAAAGAAAATTGCTTTCTTTAATAACACTAATTGCTATTGGTAAAAAATTAACAACAAATGTTATTCACTCATTTTATGTGATCTGCTATTACTTTCCAATTGAAAACCCTTTGGTTGTTTTTATCTTTTTTTATTCAGGGTTTTAATCGCCTAAATCGAATGAATCAAGCAGCAAAACATTTCCTGCTGCAGACCATTGAAAATGGATCCTGGGTGGGGATGGTGCACTTTGATAGTACTGCCAACATTAAAAGTAATCTAATCCAAATAATAAGCAGCAAGGAAAGAAACAACCTCTTGGAGAGCTTACCGACAGCAGCTAATGGAGGAACTTCCATCTGTGCTGGAATTAGATCAGCATTTCAGGTGAAAACCATACTGCAAATGTAGTTTGTTCGTTTTAAAAAAATACTTAATGCCACATTCTGCAGTTATATTTTTGGTGTCTAGTTGACCTGAGTACTCAGACTGAAATGTCTTTGTCATTTAACCCAAGTAGAATTTTTCATAGCCCTGCACCCACGTAACTTCATTTGAGCAAACATTCCCTGCAGCAGATAGACAGAAAATTTTAAAAAAAAGTTGTTGATTGCAGATTCTATTATTTTAAAAGATGCTATCTCTTCTTTTCTGCACACTTTCATTTTCTCTGTACATTTTTTCTAGTATCCTGTAAGTCTTTTGATCTAGGAACACCAATAATTATGTTCTGATTGTATCTGCAGGTAATTAGAGAAGTATACCCTCAAATCGATGGATCTGAAATTGTCTTGCTGACCGACGGGGAGGATAACTCTGCAAAGAATTGCATTGATGAAGTGAAACAAAGTGGGGCTATCATTCATTTGATTGCTTTGGGACCATCTGCTGATCAAGCCGTCATAGAGATGAGTGCTATAACAGGTGAAATATGACCCATATATATAAGTCCTTTGAAAGCAGTGCATAAGTATAAAGGCTCACAACAATTTCTCTCAAGTTCTTGCCCTGCAGGTGCTGTTCCAGGACCTTGGAACCAGGGTCAAACCAGACCTGATCTCTGTTCTCAAGGTGCTCACAGTCCAGCTGGCTGGAGAGACAAATAAAACTACTAATCAAATAGCATAATCAGATGACACCCCTCCATGATAGGAGAAATACATAGAAATAAAGCACTATGTGAGCAGAGGAACCATTAATTCTCCCAGGGTTATATACAGTCAGAGAAAGAAGGCATGAGAGATGAGGTGACTTCTGAGCTGGGCCTTGAACAAGGTGTTTACTTTTTCTGGAGAAAGGAGGGGTGAGAGAAGATGATCAGGTTATGAACAAAAAAATCATGTTGGATGACAATGCAAGGCACATGGAGAGATAGTGGGAAATCCATGAAACCAGAGCATAGGCTATGGGGTTGGAGGTGGGGGCAGATGGGATTAACAGAGGCTCAGGCTGAATAAATCTAAATAACAACAAAATTTCTAGATGAACTACAGGGTAGATGCTATCTTAGGTATAGAGACATAGTAAAAATGGACCACATGTTTTCAGTGCCTTCTTAAATGTAGTAGAATAAACAAAATTTATAACATTATGAATATTAATTATTGTATTGGGTTGACTTCTAATGCTACCAAATATATACTTGCTTTTTAATGCTTAGTTGCACAAACTCCCATCATTTCAAAGTACTTTTATGGCCGTTATAAAATTTATTTCTGTCCCAAGTGTCCATCTCAATTTGTCTCTATTGCTTACTGCCTTTCTATCTTCCCATTGCCAGTTATTGTCAGGATACCTCAATATGACAGTTCTTTAACCTTTCTGAACTGATTCTGACCCACTTTGGCTGAAAAATCTGAAGGCCAGAATTATCATAACTGTATCTTAAAAGTGAATAATTACCCTAAAGAGCTACGCAGTCTGTGGGCTCTAATACATGGAATTGTAACATCTTCTTTCATATTCTGTGATTTTTTCACAGATTTCAGCGAGGAATATTTCTACAAGTGAGATATAAAGACCACTTATGTTTCCTAGTTATGACAGTTTTTTTTTTAAAGATTTTATTTATTTGACAGAGAAAGACACAGTGAGAGAGGGAACACAAGCAGGGGGAGTGGGAGAGGGAGAAGCAGGCCCCCCGCCGAGCAGGGAGCCCTATGCGGGGCTCGATTCCAGGACCCCAGGATCATGACCTGAGCAGAAGGCAGATGCTTAACAACTGAGCCACCCAGGCGCCCCTAGTTATGACAGTTTTAAATTAACATTTCATTGTTAATCTTTACACATACCTGACTTTGTTCTATTTTAATAATATATACTGCAACTATGATTTTGTATACCCTGTTACCTTATTAATCACTAAAATGTGATAGGTATGTATTTTCTAGAGAGCAACCTACTTAATGTATTTACATTTTAGGAGGAAACCATTTTTTTTCTTCTGATGAAGCCCAAAACAACGGCCTCATTGATGCTTTTGGGGCCCTTGCATCAGGAAACACTGATCTTTCCCAACAGCCTCTTCAGGTCAGAGTTACCACTCTTCGGGTCTTTGTGTTTACATTTAGCCATAACCAAAAAATAAATCAGTTGTTATAAGTTTTGAGTCCTATATTTTTCTCAAAGTAAATTTTTAATTAAAATTAAGATTTCAGTATGAAATAGAAATCATTCTTTAGATATGACTAAATTAAGTAGTAAAATCAATATATTTTTTTTCTTTTCCCACAGAGTTTCGTTAAGGAATAACATCAAAACTCAATAATGTTAAATTTTCTGCCAAAAATAGACTTTGACTCATAATATAGCTTTCATTTTTCTATGAATGCATAAAAATATCTCACACTTCCAAGATTTCCCCCACCCTTCACTGCTGTGAAATAGATTTAAATTAGATGAATGCACTCAAGAACCCAGTTTGGAAATGGAAACAGTATATCTTGGAAATAATTTATCAGAAAAAAAGACAGTGAATAATCATTGTATATCTACAAGTTTAGGGCTTATCTTACCTCTTCAACTACTTTTTTCACTGACTTTTTATTTTATTCATCTCTCTTCTGAACTCTACTTCTTTTCTCATTTGTGTTTCAACAATACCATTTTCTATTTAGATTCAAAAATTTTGAAAACTTCCTTCTTCATTCTTCATTCACATCCCATGTAAAATGTCAACAGCCTGTTTCCTTAAAAGTATTTTTTACAAAATTGTTTCTGTCAATACCCATTCCCACCAAGTGTGTATCATGTCATTTCATCTTCCAGTTCATCAAATCACTGTCCACATTACAACTTGCCATGATCACCTAAACAAACCTATTTTCTTCTATTCTCCAACAATGAAGAACAAGAAGGTATAGGATTCAGAGTTAAGACAATATGTGCAGATTGGTTTGGAAGTTGGGTTTGTAGCTTCACCTTGAAAACAGTTTAAAAATTCATCTGAGATCTAGTTTAGCAGTGTATGGAGAATAAACTGAAGGAGAATAAAGTTCATTTCTGAAGGTTCCAATCTGGATGACTGAGAAAATGATGATAAAATTGACGTAAAGAAGGTGAAGTGATTTTGAGGATATTATTTTTGCTCTATTTTAACCTTGGGTTTTGAGTGGATGGTGGGACATTAAAATGGAATATTCCAAAGGAGTTTTAAAATAAGAGAGCAGAATGTGGGAAATCCAGAAAGGAGACACATGCATGCAGGATATGCTCAAAGTTTCAAGAATGGCTTTCTAAATGATGTGGAAAGAGCAGAAAGTTCTATCCCCCTCACTTGAAATGCCTATAGGTTCTTAAGTAGAGAAATAACAAAAAGAAAACTAATTTTTGAAAGGTTAACCTGGATTTGTGTACATGATGTATAGGTCTTGGGAGAGAATAGTGAGAATAGTTAGAGGTACATTGCAATAATCTGAGTAGATGGGAACCTGAATTTGGGTGGTGGCAGCTAGAATACAGAGAAAAGGCTGCATCTCACTCTTTACTCAGTTATTTTCCCCTAGTACTACTATGTAGCCAAAGCCTTCCAACTTAGACTTTCCTGATGGGGTACGTGAAAAAGTCACTCACATTCAGATTTAACTTGATAATATTTGGTCCACTCAAAGACATGTCCACTTAACATAGGACTGAGATTTCTGTCATTGCAATGATGTCTTAGTGGTAGAATTCACTCCCTTCTATCAGCACTGGTGTGAAAGTATTTTTGGTTTAAGACTGGTTTAGAATGGAAATGAGATTTCCCATCATTCCTGAAATGACATACTTATAGAAAGTACTTTCTTGATCAGTGGATAAACTTGGCTTTCCTTGACAAAGAGCTACGCATAAAGACTTGAAAAACTTTCTTTGAAGGTCCTCTCAGAGAACATCCTATCTTTCACATCTCTTTTCAGGATTCCAATTTTCACAGTTTGCCCCATTTCCACTCATGAGATATGTTTACTGTCTGGTGCTACTCACTCTATTCATGTGTGAAAATTATTTCAAGATTTCACACCAGGAAAATATCCATGTTTGCTTGTCTCATCATTTGCTAGTCCTGATTTTCTCTCTTGAGGTCCCTTTTTACTGTGTCGCTACTCAAATACTCTAGCCACCAGCAGTAAGTATTTTTTTAGGGGTGCCTGGGTGGCTCAGTCGTTAAGCATCTGCCTTCAGCTCAGGTCATGATCCCAGGATCCTGGGATCGAGCCCCGCATCGGGCTCCCTGTTCCGCGGGAAGCCTGCTTCTCCCTCTCCCACTCCCCCTGCTTGTGTTCCCTCTTTCGCTGACTCTCTCTCTGTCAAATGAATAAATAAAAATCTTTAAAAAAAAAAAAAGGATTTTTTTTTAGTTCATCATTTAGATGGATAAACTGAGGGTAACACACACACACACACACACACACACACACACACACACACCCTATAGCTAATTCTTCTTTGAGGCTGTAGCACTCTTTATTGCTAAAGACTTGGGTGGATGTTTGCCAAGACAATGGAAAAAAAATAATAGGGTCATATCTCCAACTATAAAACCCATTCTCTTGCTTTGATGCTTTTATTATACTGTATCCTTTCCTGAGACTCTGTATTTCCACACTATCTGACTGTCACATCCCAATCAGCTTTCAGAGAGATCACAAGCCTAAGGTAGGATGCCCTATATAAGCTTGTTCTTAGGCCAGAAATTAAAAACTGCATGAAAAATGAAAACAGCATAAAATTGCTCTCTTCTCCAGTCATTAATTTTTAAAATATATTTAAACAGCTTGAAAGTAAGGGATTAACACTCAACAATAATCCCTGGATGAATGGCACTGTAATAATTGATAGCACTGTGGGAAAGGACACATTCTTTCTCGTCACATGGCGTGGACAGGCTCCTGTTATCTCTCTCTGGGATCCCAATGGAACACCAATGAGAAATTTCACAATGGATGCAGTTTCCCAAATGGCCTACCTCAATATTCCAGGAACTGCAAAGGTAAGCAATTAGCTTTTACACTTTCTCCCACACTTGTTTTGTAGCTGAAAATACATGGTTCACTATCACAACTATAGGTGTCAATATTTGTATCATCTTCAAAATTATAATAAGATAGAATGTACTTTCTATGCCTATGTGGTCCCCAAAATTATGGTGGCAGGAAAAGGAAGAAAGAATGTATACATTAGGAGAAAGAGAAGGGAAAAAAATTAGGTAGGCTAAAAATAACTTTAAAGAGGCAATGAAGGGAGAATCTGTGCAAGTTGGTGTTTAGATAGCTATACAGTCATTCCTTATTGCACTACCAGATCATAGAATCTGTGGACTTCGAGGTTAAAGAATAAGGTCAAGACCAAGGCAAACTTTCCCAAACTTATTTTTCCCAGCTGAGATTTCCCAACCTTTGGACATCATGCATGACAATAGCCAGGATGCCCTGTCTAAACTGCCTCAGTTCTCCTCCTTTTACCCTCAAAACTCTCAAAACCCTGTATATTCTGTAACATACTTATAAAATTTATTTTAGAATTGGATAGTGAAAACACAGAAAAGCTTGATCTTGAATACTTACTATATTTCCATTGAATTTTTAGGTGGGTGCTTGGACTTATAGTCTTCAAGCCAAAGCATACCCAGAAACATTAACTATCACAGTAAATTCTCAGGCAGCCAATTCTTCTGTGCCTCCCATCACAGTGAATGCTAAAATGAATAAAGACACAAACAGTTTTCCCAGCCCAATGATTGTTTATGCAGAAGTTCTACAAGGGTATGTACCAATTCTTGGAGCCAATGTGACTGCTTTCATTGAATCAAATAATGGAAAAATGGAAGTTTTGGAACTTTTGGATAATGGTGCAGGTAACTCAGTTTTTTATGAATAAGCCTGGAATTTCATAACTCAGGATATGTTATGGGTCCCTGCAGCAGTGTGGGGCAGTAGGACAGACACCAGAAGAATTGATGCAAATTATGGATGAACAGCAGGACCAGCAGGAAATTCTGTCCACATAAAACTTATGGAGTTCTTATCACTCAATAAATGTTATTTACTGTCATTATTATTTTGTCATCTGGACAATCAATGTCTGTTACCAGTCAGGAAGGTCTCATTCAGGAAGTTGAGAACAGCATCAAGAATTCCAAACAAGTGTTTCTTAGGCAGAAATCATTAAGAAAGTCTAGCCAGAGTTAGTGAAGCACAAGCAAGCAGATGGGGTTAAGTGATAGAACTTGAGCCCCTAGCAGAGAAGGACGGAACAGGTAAGAGTAATTCCCAACAGCTGGAAAAAAGTGCAACATGTAGTCTTGGGAACTGAGGCCCAAGGGCAGGTAGAACTGCCAAAACAGATGGAAACATGACTAGAGTATTAGATACCAGGTCTGAATGGCAGAAAACAAGACACAGAGTTGGCCATGCTCTGTCTCCCTGGTCTGTATGGGTAAATAGTACCTTTTTCCCAGACTCTCAATTGTTCTGGGAACTGATCCTTCTTTTGAGAGGGCAGTGAGCAAGGAAATTACCATACTGATAACCTTCTAAGTTGTCAAAATTTTCTATCAGTATGTTTTGCAATATAATTAATTCAGTCAATTTATAATCTTATCATCAACTAGAGTATGCCCTGTGAAAAATTTAGAAGGTAAAATTGTTCTTTGGTGTACCTCAGTGCCATCATCTGGTATAATATTTTCCTTGACTATTTCCTGACTTTTCCCCTTTTCCCAACCCCTTCCATGCTACATTAAAACTTAACCTGCATCTTGTTTCATTTCTCAAAGTTTTACCAGATGGCTACTGGTATGTCTTTACCTAAGAAAGTGTTGGTGATAAACAATGACTTGGAGCAGGGGTTCTCAAACTTTAGCATGCAAGGAATCACCTGAAGGGCTTGTTATAAAACAGAATGCTACGCCCTTCCCTCGAAGATCTAAGTAATTTGCATTCCTAATATGATCAAGAGGCATGCAGGTGGTGCTTGTCCAAGGACCTCATTTCAAGCACTGCTGTCTTAGAGTGTTAAACCCCCTGAGAAATGTGTTTGCAATTTAATGAATAACTCTAGTACTGGTGATATCAAGAAATATACTTATGATATAATATTCCTGAGCTCCCCTAAATGTTTATTCTAATAATAAATGGGGGTTTTCCACTGCCAGACCAGGGAGTTAATGGCTCATAGAGCAAGAGATGAGGATACAAAAACAAAACAAAACAAAAAAGAGTAGTTGAAGAGAAGTCAAAATAAGTCATTTTTAGGTGACTACGGTAAGAATTAAATCCTATGCAAAGATACTTTTTCTTTAGTGGGGATCTTTTTGATTTGAACAGGAGATGAGATAATTATGTGTTTAGAATAAGTAAGAGCTGCCAGAAAACCATTTGGCTAAACTATGGTAAGAAAAGTACTATAATAATCTTCATAGAAGCTGATAAAGTGAAGGTATTTACTATACATACATAAGCATATGATTTATATATATGCATATATATGTAACACAAGGGTATATCAATTCAACAAGATACTGGTTAGTAGAGCATAATGGAAATATTCCCCAATGGGTCAACCACAAAATAGCCTGATTGAGGGGATGTGCTTATAAAGTCCATATGCTTGGCTTAGAAAGTGCATTAATTTTTCTTTTTCTTTACAATAAAACTTTATGCCTTCATTTTTATAACAAGGTGCCGATTCTTTCAAGAATGATGGGGTGTACTCCAGATATTTTATGGCTTATTCAGAAAATGGCAGATATAGCTTAAAAGTACGGGCTCACAGAGGGGCAAACATGGCCACACGATACTTAAGGCATCCACTGAATAGAGCCGCACATATACCAGGATGGGTAGTGGATGGTGAGTAATGATATCTGATATCTGGCTTGAATAATTTTGAGTTCATGATTAAAGCTTCAAACATTTTACAACTCAAAGTACAGCTTTTCCCATTTCTGAAATGAAGTTCTCAGTCATACTGTGTTTGCCTCCAAAATAACCTAAGCTTTGGTATAGTGTCTGGCATTTAGTAAGCACTCAATAAATGTCAGCCATTATTATATTAGTTTGGAGCACCAAACCAACATCAACAACAATATATCAAATTTCTAACTCAAGATAAAGAAAACAGGTTAATGTGTTATGTACCTAAGTACAAGCTTGTGGCAGAATTTATTTTTCAGGTTACATAGATACCTGGTTCCGTTTACAAAGATACCTAAATGAGTATTTATTTTCAATGTTTTTATTAAGTCAAAAGCAAAAAAAATGTGTAGAGTAAGATGACGATTAGGATTAAGAATGCATTCTTTGGGGCGCCTGGGTGGCTCAGTTGGTTAAGCGACTGCCTTCGGCTCAAGTCATGATCCTGGAGTCCCGGGATCGAGTCCCGCATCAGGCTCCCTGCTCAGCAGGGAGTCTGCTTCTCCCTCTGACCCTCCCCCCTCTCATGCTCTCTCTATCTCATTCTCTCTCTCAAATAAATA